GTCCCATGTCAGAGGGCGGAGTTTTCGAAAGGAGGCCGCCAAAAATAAAAGGCAAAGAGACGGGATCGGCTGCAGCGATTTCCCACAGGAGGAGGGAGTGTGCATCGGTCTGGTAACAAAACAGGGAATGTTTCTCATTTTTTAAAAAGAAAAGTCAATCTGTGTTTTATCTTGGATATATTTTGAATATTCTCTGTAAAATGCAGATTTTTAATGGGTTGTTAATTTTTAATGTAATACTGCTTTTGTTTGTCAGTTTTTTTTAAATCAAAACAGTACACTAACATTTACTTGTTTTTCTGTCCTCATTTCTGAAAACTCAGATATTTATGACTTTAAGTGTTTGCATCTGGGTTCTCTTTGTTCAGGTTACACTGTAAACAATATGCTAAAATTTTCACTAAAATGAACGTGGTGATGTGATCAAATGTTAGTGTGTATTTTTAAAAGGAATATTAAAATATTTATCTAGTTATCTATTTACCCAAACTTGCTATCTTAAGATATCTTTTGGATATCAGGAAGAGGGGAAAATATATTAATAATTAATTATTTTTAAACCTTTTTGGAAAAGGTTTCTGTCCTATCCCTTGTGATAACCTGAAGGTAAGTGATCGTGTGCTGCTAGTTTTTCTAGACTTCTCCTAACAGAGTTAAAGTATTCAGCAGTTCTCTCTCTTACTCACTCTGGTTTGCTGCATTTGTAATAAAAACAGCACATTTCTTCCATTTTGAAATGCTGTTGTGGAGCAAAATTGCCTGAATTATATAAGACAAGGTTTCAAAGATGACAATTTGTGTGTGTGTGTGCGTATGTGTGTATGTTTGTGACATGCATGCAGCAAAAGATGGATGAATTTGAGAGGAATTATGAACTGCTTTGACTTGATACTTGCTTTCTGATCACAAACTCCTTTTTGTGCACAATTATCTCAGTTTAGCCTTTTGCTCTGTTAGGAAGAGTCTATACTGTCTTTGTATTTTACAAATACTAACTTTTTTCTTTTCTCTTGTTACTGTCACTTGCATTTGTGCTCCCCACCTTCTGTTGGCACATTCTTCCTCCACTGCTCTCCTCAATTCCTCACTGTGCTTTGATTGCCTTACAAGATGTGGAAGATGTGAAGTTTGTGATAAACTACGACTATCCAAACAGTTCAGAGGATTATGTGCATAGAATTGGCCGTACTGCCCGTAGTACCAACAAAGGCACTGCCTACACATTCTTCACACCAGGAAATCTGAAACAGGCTAGAGAGTTAATAAAAGTTCTAGAAGAAGCCAATCAAGCCATCAATCCAAAACTGATGCAGCTCGTGGACCACAGAGGTGGTGGTGGTGGAGGAGGTAAGAGATTGGAGTATTTTGACTGTTTCTGTGTCTTGGTTTCCCAGCACGTGATAACACTTCATTAAATTTGTTCTTAAATCGTTTTTTAAAACAAACACATTTCCTTCTGTATATCTCACCTCATCTAAGCTTCTTTCTGTTATTGGGAGATGTTTCTACAGCCCAACGTCTGCATATTATGCGCCAGGAATATTTCATGTATTATCAAAGGATATATATTACTGGAAATCCAAATTGTATTTCTCTGGAATGATGCCTTTAGAATTTTGGACATTTTAAACATGCTGGGAGAATAAAATTAGAATATTGTTTGTGTCATAACTCCTGCAGGCTAGTCATAAAAGAGAGTTTCGTCCTTGCAATAGTCTTTCTAACCTTTTTAATAATTAAAGTAGGCCTAGTGTGAATAATAGCACTTCATGATGTCATGCTGGCCACACAACCTCGTAAATGTCTTTGGACAGTACTGACTCAACCCTTGAAAGGGAGATGAGCACCTCGCCCTTATAGTCAGCAACCACTAGCAGAGTAAAATCTGCAGGGAGTCCTTTACATTTTACCTTTAATGTGAATAAATCTACAGTTTAACTAATCAATATATTTGTACCCAAAACTTCTTGCGTGTCAGTTTAGCTTGCCTATTGTTGCTGCTATTATAGATTTTTTATATGTTCTTGGATAATCTGATTTAAAATTATAGCAAAAACTGTAAAGATAAATAATAAATTTCACAACTTATTTTTTGTAGCCAGTAATAGCTCACTCTACTCACTCTATCATGCCAGAATAAGATTGACAAACTAGGCTTTTGATAGGAATAGGAAATGGCAGCTTTCATTAACAGTGAAGTAAAAATGAGTTTCAATCTTTTGTCTTGTGTTTTTAAGAATAAAACAGTTGGGTGTGCATTATCAAAATAGTAAAGAAAAACCCTATTAAGTTACATGAGGCCTTTGTGATGAACTAGTAAACATGTCTAGTTGTTGCATTGAAAATGTTCAGTAGAAATTACTAAATTCAGGTCTTTATGTATGTATATATTACCAGGTGGTCGTTCTCGTTACCGCACAAGCAATTCATCCAACAATCCTAATTTGATGTACCAGGAGGAGTGTGAGCGAAGGCTCCGGGGAGTTAAGGATGGCCGAAGAGACTCAAGTAATTTCCGGGAACGTGATCGCAGTGACAGTTTTGCCAATGGAGCCAACAAAGCCTATGGTGGTACTTATGGAAATGCAAGTTCTGCGTTTGGAGCACAGCAAGGCCAATATGGTTATGCCCAGGGAGCCTATGGAACTGCAGCTTATGGAACAAGTGGTTATGGGGCAGAATATAGTGCTGCTGGGTATGGGGGAGCCAGCACTGCCACTGCTGGAAGAAACTCACAAAGCACCAATCAACAGCAGCAATATGCAGGGATGGGCCGTTCAAGCCAGCAGCCACAGCCTCTCATGTCACAACAGTTTCCTCAGCCTCCTGGCACCAGTGTGATAGGCTATATGGGGCAGACTGCCAGCTACCAGTATCCTCCACCGCCACCACCCCCTCCTCCTTCACGCAAATGAAACCACTTCATTTAGTGGTTGTCAGTCAAGATTTTCATCCCTTTCTCATTTTTTCTGTCTCTTCCCCTTCCCAACCCCATCTCCATTGTGATGTTTTTCTTAATGCAGGTTAGCTATAGAGTTTATCATCCAAATTCTGCCCACAAAAATGGTCTTGGTACACATTACTGATTTTCATTTTAAAAAGTAGTATTGACTGGAAAACTAAGTTCCTTATGCATATTTTGGCCTTGCATGTTATGAAGTTTGAAATTTTCTCTCTCAAAAAAGAAAAACCTACAAGGCATATTTGTCCCAGTCCAGCTGTTATTGTGTCTGAGGCTTATGTATGAAAAATTGCAGAGAGGACTTCTCTATAATATAAACATTGAGAAAGATGGTGCTAAGGAGAACCTCCTTTTTAACAATATTAAATATGGTGTGATTTTTGCTTATTGAAGTTGAGACATAGGTTTTCTACAGTTAATGAAACGAGGCCTTGGATTTGGCATAGGAAAATTTGGAAGATAATTTTTTTGGTTTGACTTATTTTTTCAAACTTCTACAAAATGTAAACATAATTTGAGTTTAGCTAGCATTTCCTTAATGTCTTACCAGCCTTATGCATAAGGGATGTAAGTGTTGAAGATTAATGTTCTTTTCTGTTGCAATGTGTTTTTACTCTAGATATAATCACAGAATTGCTATACTTTATTTTTATTGGATTTTTCTATGGCTCTTAGATTTCACCCAAGGTATCACAAATGACATTTGCCCCATAATTTCAACTGAGGTTAAAGTTGTACCTATAACAAAAGGTATATATATCTATAAACATGGGGGAATCTATACAGTTCCTTGATGTTCATCTTTTGATCCATTTATTTGGTATCTGGCTCCTCAATGGACATGCATAAGATCCCACTGCATTAAGCAAAAGCGTTCCTTTTTTCAATCTTAAAGGTTTATTTTAAGCTAAACAAAATCTTAAAATCTCTTAAGGGGATGGTGAGGACATAGCTAATATGTCTTGAAGCTGCATTTATATCCACATCTGACTAGGCTTTCCAGTGGCTTTATGAGTGAGTTTCTTCAGCTGGCTCTTATACTCAGCTTTTACAGGTAGGTAGCACCCTAGATTTTAGGAAGAGATAGAACTTTAGCAAAATGCTTTTATTCATTCTTGTTTTTTTCCCAGTCTGAGAAAGGTTTAAAGTTGGGGGAGGGTGGGATGGGATTATTCAAATACTAAAGTTTCTGTCTTGTAACTACAGGAGAAAGTTGATAATAGTTGGTTTCACCTGTTACGTTTAGATAAATGTGGCAGGAAAATCTCTTCTGTCCTAAGAGAGAATCTATGGGGTTTTTCTTTTTTTCAGTTTTGGGAAATAGGTTGTTAAAACAATTCAGTTATTTATAGCAATGTGGGTTTGGCTTATAAAAATGGGATTTAAATATGTGTTTCTGAATAAGAGCAGGCTGGGGAATAATAACCACTTGTGTGTCTGCGCACATCATACAGGTAGGTTGTTGGTACAGACCTTGTAAAGATTTGCTAGTTAAATTCCTCTTTCTCAGTTTGGTTTCCATAATCATAATTAAGATATATATTTGGCAGTTAACTTCATTATTGAAAATATTAGAAATGAACATTAATTTACTGAACACTGCCTGATTTGTATTTCCTTTCTTAATAAAAACATCATGGAGCTGCTGTTCATGCAGAAATGAATATACAGGCCTAGAGAAGGGGGGCAGAATAAATTCTTCCCCATTGTTTTTAAAGGGATTTGGTCTTCATCTTTGCCAATAGAAAATTGTATTAGAGCCTTACATTGCTGTACTGTAGCTTTCAACTACAGCTTGGTATGTGTTGTGCTCAGACTGAGCATTAACAAATAATTGATCTCTGTGACATGTACAGCTTGTTTCCACCTACCAGCTTAAACAAATGTGGCCAATTGGTAATATTCATTATTTGCTCAATAAATATACCAATATCCAGCCTATATTCCCTTCTACAAAAGTCATTGTGTAGGCTTTATTTAGTTAAAAAATACAGACTCTTAATACCCCGTGGGCTTCTTAGATTGAATCATTGGGGACTTTTTTTTTTCCATATTGGTATTTGAACACATTCCTGTTCTGTGAATAAAGACTTGAAAAGAGAGATTCATAGGTCTGTGATGTTCAGGCACAGTATATTAAAAAGCTATGTTACTATTAGTTTGTAAATTGTCCTTTTTGATACCATCTTGTTTTCTTTTGTAGGTATGAATTAAAAAACTGTTGTCAATAAAATTCAGAAATCTTGTTTTTTATTTAAAAATACAATTGAATATTTAAAAATGTTTTCCCTAATGGCTTGTGGGAACATTGATAGTTTAGGAAAAAGTGCTAGGTCACAGCTGTTTTAGTCTTTAATCACTTGAAATTTGGATGTAGCCATTATAGAGGATACAGTGGTTAAATCATAATCTGGTTTCTTTAGTTTTGAAGGAACGCTTCTTTATAAAACTACTGCAGATGAGTTGTCTTCCACACTAAATAAGTTCAGAAATGTTAGTTACTTAGACCACAGTCCCTTTGGTGCAATCATGTTTTCTAATTGAAATGGAAAGAAAAAGGCATATGCTCTGAATTCAAATAGTGACATGGCAAAAGTGTCTTGAATCCTGAAACATGGACTTCATCTGCTTCCTTCCATTGTGTGCATTTTCATATTGGCATTGGGAGGCTCAATTTCTTCCCTTTTAGTACTAAAAGAAGAAGAGGGGGAAAAATTAGCCCAATAACAGAGAGCAATGGCCTTTAAGTTTCCATATTTTTATGCTATACCAAGAACATTTAATGATGTCTTTAGCACAAAAAAGTACATTAATTTCTACACAAGATATAGTAAGATGAATGTTTTTTTCCACCTTATTACTCAAAGCCAGTAATATCTAGCAATTCTAGAATGCAAAGATGGGTGGGGGGGACAACACAGTATAATTGGAAGTTAATATATTTTTTATTTCCACTTGTGATTTAGAAGACATGGCTATGATATTCCCTCCAAAATTCATTTTTTCCTTCATAAGTGCATTATTTTTTATTAAAAGTTAGGAATGAAAAGGTACAACTAAAGTAATGGGAAAGCTTCTAGGTTCACAAACTATGTGACTTCCTCATAAATAAAACAAATAATCAAAAATAAAATCACTGATTGACAGTCATCTTGAAGCTTTTTGGGGGAATAAATATTCAAATTTGGAAGCAGAGCATGCTGTGGATTGCTTAGGCCCAGCTGAAACAGGTTTTGACAATGTTCCCCCAAGGCAGGAATGCTGTCTAAAGTTGGTCTAGGAATTTTAGACCTCTTAAATTGCTCATAATCCAAGAAATAACCCAAACCTGTGACTCATAATGCCATAGGAGATAGCATGTAATAATCCATTTATTCTTAATCTTTTGGTAATCCTTACCTTTGGTGACATAGAGATAAAAAAAGTCACAATAGAAGATTGTCTGTACTACTCCAGAAACAACAGCAATTTGATCAACAAAGTTTTCTGTGTGATAACGCCAGATCCAGTTGGCAAGATAAAGTGCACGATAAAGGCCCAAGAAGAAAAGGTAATGTGTTGTGATTGTCTCAGCTTCACCTGTTTTGCTAATCATAAAAAGTTGTGGAAGGATAGCCACTGATTCTAGATAAATTGAGAAAGTCCATAGTATCTGAGGAAGAACAGTAAATCCAAAATAAATATCCAAAACATTAACACAAAAAGTTACAAATATGCATAAGCTATTTAATAAGTGGTTTTAGAAAGCTGGCCTCACAAAAATAATGGACGCCATTATACTTAAGCAGAAACAAATATCTTACCTCTAAAGGAGTGAATTGGTAGTTTTCTAAAAATGAGAGACCTGTGACAGGAACCAAAAGGAACTCAAGACGGAAAGTATCCTTTTCACTGTCAAAAGTTTTCCGGAATTTTCCATAGATCAGGTACACAGTAGTATAGGCACAAAGTAAGAAAATAACCTATAGAGAAACAAAAATCATTGCATGCTATTTGTTAGATCTTCCCTGTTCAAGGGCAGCTTTTCATAGTTGGTCAGTGATATTAACTGAACACAGACCTTTAACATCTGATGAACTAAGCTGCAGCTCCAAAAATCTTAGGGGCCCGATAAAGTAAGTTTCTATTTGATTTTATAATGTTAAAATTTAATAGTTAAAATAAATACCTTTCTATAAATTTTCTAAATGTCAAGCAAGTGGAGGAAAGATTTATAAAATGGAAGCAAGAGTTGCTATACAGGGTATTACCTAATTATTGCAGGTACATTTATGTGACTTGCAATACTCCAGCTGCGTACCTCATGTATTGTCTTCCTGATCTATCCACCTTGCTCAGCAGTAGATAGAACAGTATAATCTTTTTCAGAAATGCATCAATCCGTATAATTCATGTGGATGTTTCTTGATTATTTCCAGTCTGACCTGATTTTTTCTAGTATTGAATAGTTGGTTTTCATGGCTGTTGAATAAACACATGGCCCCCTCCAACACTTTTCAAATGTGTCAATCTCTCTCCTGTGCAGAGTCCATCCTTGGTACCACATAATAGGAATGCCATTCCTGGCTATTAGTACTACTTAATGGCGTTTTCATACATTGAAGTAAGCTATAGTTTTAATTCTGTAAAGTCCCTGAATATTGCGACTGCTTTCAGGCCATCATGCATGTTCTGTGCATTGCAATGAGAGGAGAGTAGCATTTTTAAAAAAAACTCAATGGATTAGTCCTGGAATTTGGGTCTATTTATTTCAGTGTGTTTTGTGAGTTTTATAAATTTGAAGATAAATTAACGGTATGGGGACTTTAACATATCTGTACTTTTGGAAGCTTGAGGGCAGTACCACCCGGTAAATTTGGCAGTAGAAACAAATAATTTGCAGCATTCTACTTTTAATCCCACTGGATATAAACAGCTGGAAAAATAAAAAAAACATCTGTGGTGCTGAGCCTTTGCATTTGTTAAGTTAATAAAAGTGAATCTGGCTCCCCCATTGGCTTTGCTTGTCAGAAAGTTACAAAAGGTGATCACATGACCCCAGGAGACTGCGACTGTCATAAATATGAGTCAGTTGCCAAGCATCTGAATTTTGATCATAAGATCTTGGAGATGCTGCAACAGTCACAAGTATGAAAAACGATCATAACTCACTTTTTTCAGTGCTGTTGAAACTTTGAACTGTCACAGTGCTGTTGAAACTTCAAACTGTTGTAAGTCAAGGATTAGCTGTACATTAATAATGTAAAATTACAGTGTCTTAATTTGGAAGTGGGAGGGGGAATTATTTAGCTATCCCTTATTCAACATAGGCTACACTTAAATAATTGCATGGCTTAAAACATCTGAATTACTCAATGATTTAGCTTTTTTTCTGTTTCCTTACCTTCATGATGGTATTGTAAAAGGAGATGAAGTTTGTGACGAGGTCAAGGTAACGGCTTGTGAAAACAAGTGCAAAAAGGATCTGACTCTTTCCTGAAATACCTACACGTGAGATACGAATAACAAAGATAAAAGAAACCAAGGAAAGGCTGCTTGAGGCTTTAAGCCTAAAGATGCAGATTGCTTAGTTGACTGCAGGAGGCAGCAACTGATACCTGACACCACAACCACTCAAGAGAATATTCTGAAATCAAAGCACCAGCTTCAGTCATGGAAAGAGACAGTATTGGCCACTCGGTCAGGCAGCTGAGTAGTCCAGCCCAGGTTCATGTATTATTCTGTTCTATTTTGTTTAATGGTTATAATTACAAAAGTGTGTTCCTTTAAAACAACAACAAAAAAAAGCTGTTCTGGCTGAATGAATGCATGACATTAGGAAAACACATAGTTCTTTTTGCAAGGCTCAGAAGCTTACTCAAAGGAAACTTCTTTATAACCTGGAAATAGCATTTTCTCTCAGAAATGAAACTTCTGGGGTTACAAAATTTTCAACTCCGTTGCTGGTTACCCAAATGTTTACATTTGAGATCTGGCAGTCCTGCTCCAAAAAATTATTTTTTGTTTGTGCAAATGGTTTTTATAAATAACAGTGTGATTCAGTAACGGAATATTTGTGTGTGTATCTCTAGTTTAAGATATCTACACATGTATATACAGTATAGATATAAAAAATATTTTAAGAAGAAAAATCACTAAAATAGTTTATTTAAAAATTTTACACTAATGTCTACCTAAAGGTAGTAACATCAAACCAAGCTTGATAAAAATGAATTAAAGTAGCTGAAAATAAATATTAGGATCAAATCTTTTTTTAGAAGTATAAGAAACAGTAGAAGCTATTAAGACTAGCGATTGTCCCACAAAATCTCAGTAACACCTAGCTTCTTCCTACTACAAACTGACTGATATTAGCAATCCTTTTTAAAGAGAAGAATGGTCAAGTAAGAGCAGAGAAGGTTAATATTTTAGTCTTGTTTTGGAGCAATGATTTCTGAAAAGTTTTCAAAAGCAGTTATACGTATATATAACATGTTCAAATAATCGAACCACACTGCCTTATTTTGTGATGGTAAGAACTGCATCAGGATAATTTAAAAATTAATGTTTATCCAAAGTACAGGCTGTGCATATGGTCTTTTGTCGCAATAGAATAGTCTGCAATTGTAAGGAAAAAGAAATAAAGAGGCATGCTTGATTTGTCTATGTAGAGTGCCTCTTTTCTGTATTTATCTGTTCTTTTCATTCACATAAATACACCCAAAATGTCAAATGCTTCCATTCTGTCTAAGAAGGGAATCATTGGATAATTCCAGTGATTCAAAATCTTCCCATACATTTGTTATTTCCAAAACCAAATACTATTTATAAAAGAAAAGGCATGGATGGGTGAATCAGCAAGTTGAAGACAAATTTTCAGACATTGTAATTCAATCATTAAACTGGCTGACAGGTCCTTTTTTTTTTGCATTCTCACAGTGTCACTCGGGCTGATGAACATTTGAACATTGATTGCAATCCACCGTAATTGGTTACAAAACTTTCATTTTGTTTGGGTGGACTGCAACCAAATTATACAAGGGAATACAGCACATTGGAGTTAAATCGGTATCTATTAGAAAGTATATCTTAAAATTGTGCCTGTGATTTTTATTCTCAGCCCACCTGAGGGCCACAGGATTGTTTTACCATTCATTCTGAACATTAAAATTAATGAAAAATCCATTAGTCTCTCTCCATCCCCTCCCCATTCATCCAATCCCTCTGGAGGAAAAAAAGCTTACAACATAAAAGACATTTACTTTGGAGTAAGCCTCACTAAATTCAATAACAATAAAATCAGTTTCTAAATGTATGTATAGCTGAATTGAGCATATACGTCTATCTATTGTACAATTTTCAACAATACCGAGCATCAGAGTGTTGCAGCCCCATTAGTGTTGCTTAGCCCATTTACATGGCAACCACTTCTCTTTGTGCATTGATTTGTGCGTGTAAGAAAAAGTTGAAGAGAGAAAGCTGGAAAGGACACTAGCATTACATCTGGCTTTATTCATTAGTGGATCTAACTCCACCCATCATCTGCTAATTTGTTAACACTCCCTGGGTATTCTTTCTGAGACTTCATAAAATGTTCAGCATATTGGATGGGAAAAGAAAGATTCTGGAATACATTTACAGATACAGGGAGGGGAAAGAGTGCCTTAGCTTTTTTATTACTACTCTGAGTAAATTCTCTCTTTTTGGAAACAATTTGAAATTGGCTGGTAGCTTCAGAAAAGCACGGGCACAAAATGATTGCAAATGACAATATAAGCAAAACAGGAAAGGAAAGCAACATGTTGTAGAACATAGAAAAGAATACACTCGGTCCCTGAGAAACAATCATTTTATGAGCTAGAGCAGTGTTTTCCAAACCTAGCAACTATAAGAAGGATGGACTGCCTGGGGAATTCTGACAATCGAGGTTCACACATTCTTAAAGTGTTCAAGTTTGAAAACACAGAGCTAGAACATAAAAACGTTCTTACAAATTGTCTTGGTCAATTTATTTATTGTACAGCTAAGGCCTACAAGCAATCTATTATTCTTTGAGATGCTACAAGATTTTTTTCTCTTTTCTCTACACAGTTATTCTAGTGACCTGTTTGGGTTTTATTGGGGTTTCTTTCCCATTGCTTTGCCTCAAACACAATTGTGAAGGCCTTAACTAAAGTTTTAAAAAATTAAAAGAAGACACCTGGATGGAGGATTGAGAGGGCAACAGAGAAATACAAAAACAAGAGGAATGCTAATGCTTAATTCAAGCTTGTCTGTACTGTTGCATTTTAAAGAGAAAATGTGTCACAGGTTATGTCTGGGTCTTTGACAGCACATTCTAGTTATTGAATCGGGGAACATACCTGGTCCTCCATCTTTGCTATCCAAAGTGGGGCTGGGGAAGTTACAAAAGACTAGAAATTCACCACTTCAATACTACATCTAATTTCTGAAGTCTATCAAACAAAGGCTGGGACAGGGTGGAGGAGACAGACAATTTGAGAAGAAATTGAACTCCATAGACACTGGTGGAAATTGGTTACTGCTGATGCTTGAGTCTGGAGTTGTCATTGTCTGCAGCTGCAAACATGCTAAGTTTCATAGGGATGGACTTTACGTGGAAGAAATTAAAGATGAATGTTCCTATTTAATATTGCACTTTTTTTCAACAATGATGACTCTCTGGGTAGGCTCTATAAAAATCTATGAATTGAGAAACATGATTGATTTAATCTCCTATAGTATTATCAGATGGGTATACATTAACGTCAGAAACTATACAAAGTTTGCATTATATAACTTCATAGCACCACTTCTAAACATATATTTCATTCTTGGAATCAGGAAGGAGATTGGTGTGATAGAGTGGGATGGGCTTGCAGAAAGGAAACTGGGCATAGGAGGATTTTTTTCAAAATCTTGGAAATATTTTTGTGGCAAAGAATGTAACAGGTGAGAAGAAAGCAAGAACGTTAAGCAACTGATACGAAGTTGGAGCCTTAGAAACTTCTCAGGAATACATTTTAGGTTTTAGTGTCTCAAATTTAACATTTTTTTGTCTAGACTAATAAAGATGACATTGTTAAAATGGATTGTAATTAAAAAACCTTTATGGTTGCTATCTAAACTCAAGATAGTTTTTTCAAAAAAATATAAAAATTCCAATCTATCTCAGCTTCACTCCAAATGTCAAAGTGTGGGTTGCTATGGTACTAATGATTTATGCCTCAGGTTGCAAGCACTGGAGGCCAGGGGAAGGGGGCAAGACGTTCAGAAAGGTGGACAGGTGGGGAGCTATTCTGCCTTCCTTGCATTCCCTTGGCTAGCCTGTTGCTGTTAAGCATGTTGGAGCACAACTTTGTGAGCTGCTCCTCCAGTTCGTCCTGGCCCTAATACTGGTAGATGGAAGGGATGCCATCTTTTTGCTTGCCTTAGGCTGCAAAGGCTCTTGGCTGAATCTAAAGTTTCCTAGTTGGATTAATTCGGATTAAATGTGTTTTCTTGCCTCCTCCTCCACAGCAATAAAAGCCTCTATCTAGATCAGGATACAAAGAATTTGTTTTATTCAAGGAATTACGAAGTGCCGCTGAGCTTAATAACTCACTTTCTGATTTCCTTCCCATATTCCTTCTTCCATTATTTATTCCTCTCTGCTTTATTATAACATTGTGCTATACATTTAGGATGAATGTGACTCCAGCAGCCTAAGGCTACATCCCAAATCTGACACTCTGTGGTCCATTTGTGTTCCAAGTAAAAAATTTCTGGCTGGCCTGCCATTCTATATGGCTTTCTCATCAGCTTCAGCAAGACAGAGAAGAGAATAATGATAATTATAATACGTACCAGCACATGACTTTGATCTCCAGATTTTCACTATCAAAATGATCATAGCTAAGAGATGAGAGACATCTCCAAGGATCCGAAATACATTCATGATGGCCCAAGAATATCCTACAGGAATCTGAAGAAAAGCAAGTTAATGTAAATTGAAAAGGAAGATGCCGATTCTCCACTCTCAAAGCTTGGGAAAAGGTGCTGCTGCTCCTCTTTGTCAGCTTCCTGCTTAATGATTCCTTTTCATTAAATTTCTTTGGATATGCCTGTTTCTAGGTGAAGAACTCTCTCACAGCAGAAATCTTCAGAAATGTGCCCAGAAGTTTAAAATTAAAACTTGATTATACTCTGCACAGAACAAAAGAAAATCTTTTTATACTTCTTCTGTAGAAAGTTTCTGGCTTCTCTGAAACTGATTAACTCCTCTCGACCAAGTAATGGAAGACCATTGGAGAACAGCCTCAGTGCAGACACTGGTGACGTGGCATAGATGCTGTTTGTACAGAGAGGATGGTGGAAGGAGGCGGGAGCAGCCACTAAGCCAACTTAGCTAAACTTTCTCTTGCATCCCTTGACTTCTCAAGTTACAGCTTGAAATGTCCTTAAAGGGAAAAAGACAGGGAGGAAGCAGATTTCTCTTTCTAAGGGTGGGGGAGAGAACTATTTAAATGGATTCAAATTCTGGAGATGGTGGAGGGCCCACCATTAAATAACAACTCTCACTTGGGATCATGGTGAGGCTCTGTGCAAGGTCATATTCCCTTCAGCGTTCAGTATTCTGTGCAGATTTCTTTAGTCTCATTGCAAAGAGATTTAGAAGTCAATGGATGCCTTCTAACTGTTAAAACGAGTTTTCTTTATAATGCTCCAAGTTAGACTGTTTGTATTTCATTCTATCCAAAGAGCTTATTTCCTTGATTTAAGTTATTTCGAAGAGGAAAACACATACTTGGGGATGGAAACAGAATTCATTCATTCATTTATAATTTTTCTTCCATGAAGCTAAAATGATAGTCCTGGTTCATCCAGGACTATTCACGCCACCCATGCAGGCTGAGATTCTTGTGGCACTTGAAACTGCATCTCCTTTATATAATGGGCTAAGCCACTGATATTGTGGCAGTGCAAGTAGCATGCGTTGACAGTGGCAGGCCAGGTTCCCTTTGGAACAGCTTTCCAGAATGAATCCTTTATTTGGACACATATTTCTCCCACACACGCACACACACCATTTCTTGACCTGCATATGGATTCCTTCTTCCACATCTACAGCTTTTTAGGTGCACAGTTAAGGAATTGTTGAGGATCAGGAAAGAGTGGAGAGAAGGATGGAAGAGGCTTACAAGCTAAATCCCATAAAGAATAGTTAAAGGAACCTGATGTGTTTAATCTAACGAAGAGAAGGCTAAGGGTTAGAAGTGCAGCATTTGAATGCATGAAGGAATATTAGAGGGCAGAGGGTTCTTTTACCTCCGTAGCACTGAAGGTAAAACAAGACCTGATCGTGCAAGCTTTACAGTGAGATCTAAATTTAAATCAGTGTTTCTCAATCTCAGCAGCTTGGAAATGTATGCAAGCTTGCTGGCTAGAGCACTGTGGAAGCTGAGATCCACATTCCTTCAAGTTCACAAGGTTGAGAAACGCTGATTTAAAGCAAAGGGGAATTTCCTCACTGTAAGAATTCAGAGGCAGTGAGATAGTTGTGCTACTCTATCCCTGGAGGTTTTCAAGAAAAGATTGGGCAGCCATTTGTCTAGGATGGTACGCGGATTCCTTTACGTGTCAGGGAGTTGGATTAGATGACTTCCAAGATGCCTTCCAACCCCATGATTCAGTGTATTAATGATGCAACATAACCCAATCTATTGTAGAAAGTAACGGCACCCATGGATAATCTAAAATATGCAAATAAATTAAAAAAACGAAAGAACTTTAAATTTAAAATGGGTCCTCTTAGTAATATTAGGTGGAGGGTGTTGAAAAATAAAGTAAGCTTCAAAAAGATTGGTTTGTAAAGATGTGGACCTTTTTCGAAAGCCAATACTAGATATTCCCATACCTTCAGAAGATCTTAAAATCTCTGGGTCTCAGTCTGAGCAAAATATTACAGAATACTTCCTTTTGATTCTTTCATTCAATATAACTGAGTGATGGGAAATTCAGGACGAGTAGAGTAGAGTAGAATTTTTTATTGACCAAGTGTGATTGGACACACCAGGAATTTGTCTCTGGTACATAAACTCTCAATGTCCATACAAATAGCAAGTGATAGATCATAAATCATAGTTACAATCATTAATCATAAGATACAAACAACAAGTGATAAATCATAAGGTACCAATTGAAGAATGTGGTAGGAAAGATGAGAAGATGAGAAAATGTGAGAAATGAGAAGATGAGAAAATGGAAAGGATAATAGCAATACAGCTCTACCACATGGGTAAATATCTTTAGGCCTAAGATAATGCTGTGAGAATTAGGTGTTCAGCAGAGTGATGGCACAAAGGAAAAACACATGTCCGTGCAATTTTTAAACTTTGGAATGCAAAGAAAAGGTGATAATCACCTCCTTAGATGGGCTTTAAAGAAAGTTTGGTTGACTATTGTGAAAACAGAGCATTCAGACCAGACCAGGAAATTTTGCTTCCTGCATATCACCAAAATATACATATTTTTGGCACTCTGCACCTTTCTGCCATTTGCTCACTACCCCAACTGGGAATAGAGTTTCTTATCTGCTCAAACATGCTACCATATATGCCAGTGTACAAGGCGACCCAGCGTATAAGATGACCCTGTCTTTATCGCCGAGCCGCATTCCTAGAACGTTGTCTTATACACCGGAAACTACCAGTATTTCCGGCGTATAAGACGACCCCCGTCTTTGGCGCCGATTTTAGCGCTCGCGGAAGTTGCCTTATACGCCGGCATATACAGTACTTTACAGTAGCACTAGCATGTGTGATGTGAACAGAGCAATACTGAAGTATGAGCAACTCCTGATGGATGTTATGGCATGGGGAAAATGCCTGTTTTCCAGATCTCTGGATGAATTTTTTCCCCAATTGTTTTGTCAATTCTTTATAAACTGATCTGATACCCCCTCCATTACACATCAAATGTTTAATTTGTTTCAGAGCCACAGTATGTATCTTGCTTACATACATTTATCTGCTTTTCTTAACAGTCAGTTATACTCTCCAGCTTATTCAAGCTTCTGTTCTTATTGGATTTTCCCATGTCATATAAAGTATTGGCGTCCTCTATTCACTAATCAGGATCACACTTCACAACAGTGAATTCCTGAGATAAGCAGGCAAGCCCACCTGCAAAAAGCAAGCCTCTTAGGAGGCCAGGAACTATTAAGAGAACAATATTTTCCTCCATTGTTTAAGGGAAACAAAAGTAGGACCTGCCGTTCCTTTGATACAGTATGATTATATTTAGGTTCCTAATGTTGGAACTATTTCATTTGCATTTACTCTTCAGTATCTCATAACTTATCATGCACGAGAGGCAGTGGGTGTAGACAGAGAGAAATGTACTTTATTACCCTCTTTATTTTTATTTGCTCTCTGTGAAATTGTTAAGCTCAATACCCTTGCTATAAAATAGGAAGTAACTATGAGAAAATGCTACTTTATTAATGTGGTCACCTGCCCAGCAAAAGAAGACAGGTGCTGAGAAATTACTTTTGGAGTCACATATGAAGTCAGAGCTTGGAACCATGTGTCCCAGATAAATTCTGCCTGACTAACCTATATCATACAGAGTGTCTGATAAAAGTCCTCACCTATTGTGCATTCTCTGAGAGAGCTCCCCTCCTTTGGAATACCTGCCATCCATGATGACAATGGCCTCCACTGTCATAATTTTCTAGAAGATGAGCCTTCTAGAATGCTTTGGGATTGATTGTGAAATCATTAGTAGCCTGTTAGTTTCTTATTATTTTTGTTATTTTGCTATTTATTATTATTGTATTTCATCATTGATATCTATAGTACAGTATATGCCCCTGGAATCCATTAAGATTGAGATGGAAGAATCCATCAGATAGATAAGTAGATAAATATTGTGTTGAAAGCCAAATGGTTCAAAATTGCCTGGGATCTCCACTGTATGTAATACTTCTGTGGTTCTTTACACACACACACACACACACACACACACACACACACACACACACCTTACATACATACATGTTTTGTGGCTGTACATTGCATTATTGATTTGATCAGATATTATGTTTGAAACTGGCTTTTTTGCTTCTATTGTATGAGCTATCATTTAAGTACAGTCATACTCTCACAAAAAGTCCATGCTAGTCCCTTTATAAGAACTCTCTTATCCAACACAGTGTTACTTTGGCCAAATTTCATCCAACTTCTCACTTAATTTGTGAGCATGGAACTTTCTAATATAGAACTGTCTGTCTACAATGTTGAGTGTTGACCTGATAGCATATATTACAGGATGGAAACATGTACACCTGGACACTAAAGGCAAAAAATCCAAGTAGATGAAAGATGAGTATGCCAGTCTTATTTTATTTTTTAAATAGTTTATTCTGTAGACTGCATCTCATCACCCTACTTATACTGCAGATTATTTTAGATCTTGGAATAAGATCTTATGAAGGTCTTTTGGGGGGACGACCATGTGTATTCCTTAGCTATAAACAAAATTCTGCCATTCTCTTTTTCTCTCTCTCATCATCTCATCATCTTTTTTTCATATTATGTCTTTTATCTGAGAATTGAAGACAGTTTATATATTAAGGCTGCTGCCTCCAGCTAGACGTATTTTTTTTAAAAAAAAATAAAAAATTCTAATTTATTTTCTAATTAAAAATTAGAAAAAAAGAATATTGTGACCTATACAACCAGCTCTCATGACCTTAGCATCCCCATATCAATCCAGAAAAAGCTTATTTCTTTTACTGCCAATTTTATTTATTTAGGTTTTGGGACACAAGCTTGCCAATTATCCTGAAGAGCCCTCGGATAATTTCTTTTCTGTTTCCATTAGTGCAACCACATAAAGGGATGACTTCAATTGGCCATACCTATCAGGAGGGCCATACTGTTGCCACATGCTCTCTCATAAGGACCTACTCACTGGCTGGTTCTCAACTCACAGGTGACAAGGAGACCTTGGACCATAGCATAGTCTGAGTGCCAAAAAGATTAGACTACAGAAGTGAAAGTGCTACAGAGGGCTCAGAGAGACCTGAGGTTTGGGGGTTTGAAGATTGCTCAAGGATTGTTCAAGGCCTGAAGTTTGGGGGTTTGAAGATTGCTCTTTTTGAATAAATCTAGAACATAGTATTCTATTGTCAAAAGTTCTGCAGAGTTAAAATTATTTTTCTTACCCAGAAGATATTCTATTTTCAAAGTCTTGTTATTTATTGTGCCCTGCCAAAACAGAAATTCAATAAAACATGTGAAACAAAATTCAGTTTCTCATCTTCTGTGCAAGGCAGAAAACATATA